TGCAACATATTGATTCGACCATTCTATGCATTACGCAACGGTCAATCTCGATACGTGTGGTCACCATCTGTCACCATGCAACCTTATTACGGTTTTATTGACTGCATTCCCTACGCTGTACTTTCATCTCTGTGATTTATTTCTGGTTGTTTTCTCTTGATCTGCATCTGCCTTCTTTCTCTCAGGGATAGGATTAGGTCCCATGGCTGAGAAACATCATTCCTCTGCAGATGACTTTTCAGACAATATCCTCAGCTGAACTTGCCCTGAAGCCCACGCACATGCATCCTGCTGCTAAGGGCAGGCCTCTGGGGATGTCAGATAGTATCCCAGACTCATCAAAGATAGAATTTTGACTTTTCATCTTTCAACCACAGTGGATGATTCTATACTCCAACATGGCAAAGCCATTTGCAGTGCTGGGCCCACCGTGCTTGTGGTTTCCTCTGCCTGGAAATTTCTTTCCCCCAATACTCACTTACTAGTATTCTTCCTGACTGGTTATCAGATCACATTGTCCCTCCTGGGAGGATTTCTGGTCACACAGCCTAAAGTAGCTAACTAAATTCTGTCATTTGCCCTGTTTTAATTCTTTGTGTACTGTTTATCATTCCCTGACATTTCCTGATTTTTATTTGTCTGGTGTGTGTCATACATTGGAAGGTGAGCTCTGAGGGTGGGGCCTGTGTGTCGTGCCCCCAGCTGTGTCCCTAGAGACGACAGCCCGATGCGGGCCTGAGCCTCTAGGTGCTCTCTAAGTGTTTGGTGAGTGACTGCGTGAAGCCACTCGGCTTCTTTAGCCCTAATTCCCCTCTTGAGTGGCTCATTTGGAAGTGGGAATTTTATCTATTCTTTAGGATTAAAAAATTGATTTGAATTAGTGGAAAAAACTTAATCTATACCATTTCAGAAGAAAGAATAAAACGTTGTCTTTATTAAATGAGGGATTAAAACTCAGTTATCACTTTTTATCCCTCTTGTTGATCCATTCAAATGGTAGCAAAGGACCGAGAAAAGTTCTAAAGCACAAGGAGAGAGAAGATGAGAGGAGAGAACAGATGAGAAAACATTCGCCAGAGTTTGGCTGTTGGGAGGGGGAGATGGGAGGGGTTCAGCGGGGCACCTGAAGGAAGAGGGTGAGTAGGTGAGCTGGCTCGGTCTGGATTCCCATGAACTCAGGACGTAAAGGCACCAGGCACTATGACGAGGGGAGCTCAGACTGCTCAGTTTCTCTGTGCTGTGGCTGGACCCCCATGTCCCCATTTTCATCCATGTCTTCCAGGCTGCCACGTCCCTCCCTCCGAGCAGAAGGAGATGGGGCACGGGCAGAGCTCAGCGTGTCAGGCAGAGTGGAGAGAGCAGGCCAGGGGCAGAGGGGACACAGTGAAGGTCTGAACACGAGGACCTTCAGCCAATGTTGCCCCTAGGATGCACGGGGCCAGCAGATATTTTTGCATGGTGTCTTTGTTTATAATAAATGATCAATTTGAACCACAGAAAATCAGCCTGTTAGCTCTGTCCTGGTGACCCAACCTCATGCGATCCTGTGACAAAAATACGGTGTCGCGGGCACCTGGGTGGCTCAGTCAGTTAAGTGTCCAGCTCTTGATTTCGGCTCAGGTCATGATCTCATGGTTCATGGGATCGAGCCCCACATCCGGCTCTGTACTGATAGTGTGGATCCTGCTTGGGGTTCTCCACTCTCTCTTTCGTTCTGCCCCTCCCTCTCTCTTTCCCTCTCTCAAAAATAAATAAACATAAAAAAGCAAAAAGAAAATACGGTGCTAGCGGGCAGGTTTCATCTGCTTGCCAGGTCACCCTCCAGGAACCATGGTCTGGCCATGGGGCTCCAGGGTGACTCCCTAAATGAGTCCTGGAGCTCCTGGGGGCATATAGTTAACACCCTTTATGACGGAGAGGATCAGAGAGCACAGAGGGGGAGAAACAGAGACTAGGGCTCATGCAGGAGCTGGTCTGGACTTGGGGTACCTTACTGGATTTCACTGCTGCCCCTACCGATCCTGGGAGGACTCTGTGGCTGTTCCCAGGGGGACCCTGAGGGAGATGTTCGCAAAGAAGGCATTTCACAGCATGGCATTCCCGTGAAATGTGGGGGCCCGGCCAGGGGTCCTGCTTGCTAGGGTCTAAGGGCTGTCCTGCCTGCCCCCTCCTCCCCAGACTTCTGGTATGCTGGTGGGCAGACACCACTCAGGTAGGGTAATCTCAGAGAAAGGACTTCTAGATACTTGAGTGTTCCTCAGTAAAATGGCTGATTTCTCATCCGCTCATCCCAGAGCGAGGCCCATCTCCCAAGGAAGTCCTGTCTCTATGCTCTGAGTCTCTGTCTAGTTATTTCCTTTCTTGAATATAAATAGACAGGAAACATCAGATATCTGAGGAAAGCCTCTAACACGAATGACAGGCGCCACATAAAACACACTTTAAAGAAAACAAAAAGCAAAAAACAGAGGAAATAGATCTAAATCAGAATATAGGGGAGACAAAGCTCTAACAGCCTCAGAGATGAAACATTATGTTCATAACAGAGATAAAACCAGGACAGGGTGCAACGAAGCCAAAAGAAACAACCAAAGAATAAAAAGGAGGGCTTGGGATTTACAAATGTGGTGCTTGACATAAAAAAATGCAGTAGCAGATTTAGACAATAAAGTCAGTGAAATCAACCAGGAAGTAGAACAGCAAAGACAAGAGACAGAAAATAAGAGAGAAATGATAAGGCTCAAGGGAGGATCAAGTCAAGGAGTCCAGCATTTGACAAACAGGAGTTCTAGAAAGAAAAACAGTGAGAGCAGAAGAAATTATCCAAGAAATTCTAAGCCACGGTGTATTAGACTGGAAAGATCTGAGACTTCAGGCAGAAAGCCACTTGAGTGCCTGGCATAGTCGATGAAAGAAAGTCCCCACCGAGGCATATCACGTTAACTACATTCAACATGTCCGTGATAAAGAGGGAAATTAATATCTCATGTAGAAGATTGAGGATCCGAGTGGCAGTACTGGATGCTAGGGAGGAAAGTCTTCCAAAGTCTACTTTAAGAAAATGATTTTTCAATTAAATTCTATGCTCAGCCAAATGAGCAGCTGTATCTGAGGGCAGCATATAAGATGTTTTCAGCTAAGACTCAGGGAGCCTCTCTCTGTGTGTCTTTAGCCAAGAAGTCCTGTTGCTGCCAAATGATGAAGTGACCAAAAAAAGAACATGGAACAAAGAAACGAGGGCTCCAACTCAGGGAGGGCTGAGAAATGAGTCCCCGGTAGGTGGACAGACAGGAGACCCCGGTAACAACCAGCTGAGATGGGGAGAAGAAGGAAGGCTGGCATCTGGCGGCAGTGGTGATCCTCGAAAACAATAACTGCTGTTTATCCGTTATATTAATAAACACAGTGGGGCACCTGGGTGGCTCAGTTGGATAAGCTTCCGACTTTGGCTCAGGTCATGATCTCACGGTTTGTGAGTTCAAGCCTGGGTCCGGCTCTCTGCTGTCAGCACAGAGCCTGCTTCAGATCCTCTGTCCCTCTCTCTCTTGCCCTCCCCAACTAGTGCATTCTCTCTCTCTCTCAAATAAATAAACATTTTAAAAGTCTTTTAAAAATAATAAACACAGAGAAAGATTTACCACAGGTCTTAGAGAAGTTTGGGAAAACTCAGTCTTCAACTTCAGGATAAAACAGTTCAACTCAGGGAAGAAACAGCCATCATACTACCATGTTTTACCAAATTTAAGATGCCATTATTAGTTAAGTAACGATTTGTCGACCATCATTTTAAGAAGAAAGAAAAAGTTGTCGCCTACTAAAAAGGCAGGCTGTGGGTTGAGAGACACACCCATCTTTCAGAGGTTGTGTTAGAAAGCTAAACATGCTTTTTAGGATTGGTGAAAATAGTGGCCCATTCTGGTTTTGCAGTCAGCCATATTTAGTCCGACTATTGATTTTACCACAGATAGCAATGTCGACATTGCGAGGATGAAGAGAGAGAAAGTTCGGGTGTATACCTGTGTGGGAAACATTAGTGCTAAATAAATAGTCATGAACCAAAAAGGAAAGGCAGTAGTTTAATGTCTAGAATTGATAAATCAAAATATTCACCGCATTACAGGGACAGAGATGTAACCACATGAAGGAGCAACTAAAATAACAGAATGGTGGCCTCTGGGCACCGCGTAGGGGTGGGGTAGGTTGGGATGAAGTGGTCTGGAGACAAGCGGGTTTTTATTTTTTGATTTATTTTCTTTCAATTTTTTATTGTTTTAATTTATACTTGAGAGAGACAGAGACAGAGACAGAGAGAGAGAGACAGCTTGAGAGGGGGAGGGGCAGGGAGATGGAGACAGAATCTGAAGCAGGCTCCAGGCTCTAAGCTGTGAGCTGTCAGCACAGAGCCTGATGCAGGGCTCAGGCCCACAAGCAGTGGGATCATGACCGGAGCCAAAGTCGTATGCTTAACTGACTGACCACTGGGCGCCCTGAGACTTGCTGGTTTTTAAAATGAGCCTTTGGCATAATGCATATTTGACTAACTGGTAGGGGAAAATACACACGTGCGTGCACACACACACACACACACACACACACACAGCCTTGTTGGAAATTAAAAGAGGGGCAATAATTGCAGATATGGGGCAAACCTGCTTGTCTTTAAAATATTCAGACAGAAGTTTAGGACATGATCATATTCTGCCTCACGGGCCCCCAGAAGACTGGTACTTACTCCCTTCTCCCCCAGAATGCAAGTGGGCAAGGATGGCCCAGCATCCCCTTGTCTTTGCACAAAGCTTTAATATCTACACATCGTTCTATGTGTTTTTACCCATTTGAGCCTTACCGCAGCCGGGATTAGGCCGAACTATTGCCATTCCACGCGTCAGAGGTGGACCGGTGGCCCACCCCACCCCGCGATGGCTCAGCCTTGACCGGCCGCCCAGGGGCGCTTCTCTCTTGTGACCTCATGCCACCGTTCTGTCCCCATGATATTTTAGAGGAAAGAGGAAGAGGAGAGGAAGCAGGGAGAGGAGCAGATTCGCCTCCAGGAAGAGCAGAGGGCGAAGGAACTCTACTGGACCCTGAAGCAGGCCCAGCTGCAGAGCCACGCCAGCGAGAACGAGGAGCGGGAGTGGGAGGAGCAGCGTGAGTACTCGGGCCTGCCTCCCCCCACCCCCCTCCACCCCCCATCGTCTTCCCACTTGTGTGATGCTCCGTCTTCCCTCCGGCTCACTGCGCAGCCCACACCCCTTGACCCGGTGCCACCCACACGAGCGACCCTGCCGAGGACCCAGAGGGTAAGGGCTCTGACTGTAGGGGAGATTTCTTAACGCTAAAAAATAAAACCCTACAATTTACTGAGCTACCCGTAGGCCGCTGGCTCTGTGCGAAGCCCTGGGCATCCAGAAATGAGGGACTCATGGACCAGTTACACGGGCTTTGGGCTTGCAGGGAGAGAGTATCAGGTACTGCTGGAGCAGAGAGTGGTGATCCTGGTGGGCTTCCGGATGCAGCATTAGGACATGAAGGTTGATCGGGGCACAGGAATAACTGAGGCAAAGAGGTGGGAGAGGGCGTTGGAGACGGAGGCCCCAGCGGGTGCAAAGGCGTGGTGACCGGGATGCGGTGTGTGCTCAGGAAGGTGGAGATGTAAGGGGAGGCTACAAAGCTTGGAGGGTGTCGGTGGAGAGAAGTTAGGTGGGAGAGGGAAGGTGGAACCAGATTTGCAAGGTGATATTTCAGTATGTGCTCGGGGTTCGTTTGAATCAGGTACAAAGACACATGCAGATGTGGAGATGGTGATCTTGCAAGAAGTTTCTACTCTCAGGGGCTGTGGCATGCCAGGCAGGGGTGCATGGGGAAGCCCCCTGCCGGTCAGGAGGCGGTGGGAGCCAGGGGGCAGTGTGGGTCAGAGCCTTTGCTGTGGTTTCCTTGGGAAAGGTAGGGCCAGGCAGGGTAAGCAGGCTTAGGATTGGTGGGCTTGAATAATTTCCGCAGGCTCTGGGGCATAGGGGCTGTCCCGAGTTGTCTGACACCCTGCCCTTGGGTGACCAGGACACGTGGATAGTGACCCAGAGTGTAGGCACTGGATAAAGGAAGTGGTTGGGATATGGATTTTGGATTGACTGGTTTACAAATGAAAGACACACTTGCACGTGAACCCTTTAGGATCTTCGGGACGTGGCCAACTCTGGGAGAGGCCATCTCTCTAGGCTCAGCAAGGTGTCAAAACATCAAAAATGGCAGAAAATAAGAAGGCGTGGTTCATGCAGGTGGACAGTGGGAAATGTCTAATACTGAGTTTGGGAGAAAGCAAGAGCCTTTGCAGAGGAACATATTAGAGACGATGGGAACGAGGGCCGCGGCAGGGGGAGCAGAGATGTGGGGTGACTTCTCGCCAGTCTTCTGGTCCTCAGCCTTTCTCAACCACACGCCCAGAGCCATTAAACAGACCTTAAAAAAATTGAAATACAGTTCACATAACATAAAATTCACACTTCGAAGCGGTACAATTTAGTGGCTTTTCGTATACTCACTATGTTGTGCAGCCATCGCCATTATTAGTTCCAGAATATTTCGTCACTGCAAAGAGAAACTCTGTACGCGTTGGCTATTCCTTCTCTTGCCACGCCTCTGGAAAGCACCGATGTAATTTCTGTCCCTATGGATTTGTCTATTATGGATATTTCATATAATTGAATCGTACATTAGGTGGCCTTTTGTGTCTGACTTCTTTCGTTTAGCATGATGTCAAGGTCCAGCCCTGTTTTAGCATGGGCCTGTGCTTCATTCCTTTTTATGGTTGAATAAAATTCTGATGTAGGCAGGTACCACCATGTTGGTTTATCCATTCATTAGCTGATGGACCTTTGGGTTGTTTCTGCTTTTTAGCTATTATGAATAATGTTGCTCTGAGCATTGGTGTGTTTTTATGTGAACGTATTTTTTTCAATTCTCTGGGGAGTGGATTTTCTAGGTCATATGGTAACTATGTTTAACATTTGGAGTAACTGCCATTCTGTTTTTCAAAGCGACTGTACCGTTTTACATTTCCACAAGCAGTATATGAGGGTACTAGTTTCTTCCCATCTTTGCCAATGCCTGGTATCTTTTGTCTTTTAAACAAAATTTTTTTTTAATGTTTATTCATTTTTTGAGAGACAGAGCACAAGCAGGGGAAGGGCAGAAAGCGAGGGAGACACAGAATCTGAAGCAGGCTCCAGGCTCTGAGCTGCCATCACAGAGCCCGACGCGGGGCTGGAACCCACAAACTGTGAGATCACGATTGAGCGTAAGTTAGCCGCTTAACCAACTGAGCCACCCAGGTCCCCCTTGTCTTTTTGATAATAGACATTCTAACAGGTGTAAGGTGATATCTCATTGTGGTTTTGATTTGCATTTCCCTGGTGATTAATGATGATGAGTACTTTTTCATGTACCTGTTGGCCTTCTGAATGTCTTTTTGAAAAAATACTTGTTCAGGTCCTTTGCCCATTTTTACATTGGGTTATTTGTTTTTGGCTAATTGAGTTGCTGGGGTTCCTATATATTTTGGATATTAGCCCCTTATTGGATATGTGGTTTACAAAGACTTTCGCCTATTCCACAGGTTGCCTTTTAATTTTGTTGATGGTTTCCTTTGCTGTGCAGAAGCTTTTTGAATTGATGTAGTCCCACCTGTTTAGTTTTGCTTTTGGTGTCATATCCAAAATATTGTTGTCAAGACCAATGTCAAGGAACTTTTTTCCTATGTTTTCTTCCAGGCGTCTTACAGTATCAGGTCTTACATTTAAGCTTTTAATCCATTTCGAGGTGATTTTTTTATAGGCTGTGAGATAGAGGTCCAATTTCATTCTTTTCCATGTAGCTGTCCACTTTTCCCTGCACCGTTTATTGAAGAGACTATCTTTTCCCATTATGAGTTCTTAGTGCCTTTGATGAAAATTTGTTGACGATATTTGGATAAGTTTATTTCTGAGCTCTACAGTCTTTTCCATTGGTCTGTGTGTCTGATTTTATGTCAGCACTATACTGTTTCAGTTACTATAGCTTTGTAATATAACTTGAGCTCATGAAATGAGATGCTTCTAGCTTTCTTCTTCTTGTTCAAGATTGCTTTAGCTATTCAGACCTTTTGTGGTTCTATACGAATTTTAGGATTATTTTTTCTCTTTCTGTGAAAAATGCCATTGGAATTTTGATAGATTGTCTCGAATCTGTACATTGCCTTGAGTAGTATATTTATTTTAGTAGTATTAATTCTTCCAATCTATGAACACATTTATTTGTGTCTTCTTCAATTTCTTTCATCAATGTCTTATAGTTTTTAGTGTACAGGTCTTTTGCCTCCTTTGCAAAATTTATTTCTGAGTATTTTATCCTTTTCTCCCCAAGCTTTTAATGTACAGTGTAATATTGGTTTCAGGAGTAGAATTTAGTGATTCATCGCTTACATACAATACCCAGTGCTCATCCCAACAAGTGCCCTCCTTAATCCCCATCACCTATTTCACCCACCCTGATGCTATTGTAAATGGGGTTGTTTTATTACTGTTTTTTTTCTTATTCACTGTTAGTGCATAGAAACACAACTGATATTTGCATGTTGATTTTGTACCCTGTCATTTTAATTTGTTTATTAGTTCTAATAATTTTTGGATAAAATTATTAGGGTTTTCTATATGTAAGGTCATGCCACCTGCAAACAGACAGTTTTTCTTCTTCCTCTCTGATTCGGATGCCTTTTATTATTTTTGCCTTGCCTAATTATTTGGGCTAGAAATTCCAGCATTATGGTGAATACAAGTGGTGACAGTGGGCATTCTTGTGTTACTTCTGATCATAGAGCAAAAGCTTTCAACTTTACACTGTGGCTTATGAGGTTAGCTATGGGCTTGTCATGTACAGCTTTTATTATGAGGTACGTTCTTTCTACACCCAGTTTCTTGAGAGTGTTTATCATGAAAAGATGCTGCGTTTTGTGAAATGCATTTTCTGCATCTATTGAGTTGATCATGTCATTCTTATTCTTCTTTTTGTTAATGTGATATATCAGAGTTATTGATTTGCCTCTGTTGAACCATCCTTGCATCCCAGAATAAATCCCACTTGATCATGATGTATAGAGCCTTTGGAAAGGCCTCCGTGGAGGAAATGGCATTTGGTTTGGGAAAAGTGGAGAGGTAAAGAAGGCAGGGAAGGGCATCCCAGCAGAGGGAGCAGCACTGAGCAAAAGCAAGGTCATCATTGTGTGCATAAGGCATGGCATGCGCACCGATTCTGCTGCAGCCTGGGGTTCCTGGTGAGTGATGATGAAAATGAGGCTAGTAAGGGAAGATAGGCAAGGGCTAAGTAACAACTCATTTAAATTCAGAGTGGAAGAAGAGAGAGGAGAAACAAGAAGGTGGGACAGCGGTTTATACTGAAAATAGAGTGAGCAATTACAAGGTGAAGTCACGTGAGGTCACTCTAGTGTGCGAGGAGGAGGAGCCCTAGCCTAGGAGCCCCGCCCCACCTCTGCCACTAACTAGCGTGACTGTGAGCAAGTCCTTGCTCAGTGGTTCAGTTTCCTCTTTGAACAGTGAGGGTATCCATGTTGAGTCGAGGCTGTTGGGAGGGTAAAAGGAGAGGGCGGAAGTGTCACTCGGGAGCCTTCTTCTTGCAGCCACACGATGAGTTGGGCCATTGTGGGCTGGGCTGGTGTTGCCTTGGGGACTGAGACGAGATTCTCTGGCCCAAGTGCTGCCTGACTGCTAATTAATGCACTATGTGGCAATAGAAAATGGAAAAATCTCCAAAAGACAGAGGAAAGGTGATAATTCAGGTCCTATGATTTGGGTTCCCAGCTTTATACTTTCTTAAAGAACGATGTGCTGAATTCTGGAGGCTGTCATTCAAAACCAGTAAGGCCGTTCTGCACTCAATTAATTTTATATGAAAGATTTTAGTGGGCCATTAATCTACTGGGAGCAGCAGTTTTTGACAAAGCACCTAAATTAAATTCTCCCAAGTTAGGGGGAAAAAGGACATTGTTTCCTTTAGTATCACTTAAATCTGAAGTTAGTTGTTCAGTTCGAATAGCAGAGCAGGCTCTGGGCTCTGAGAAGCTCTGAATATTCCAGGCAGAAATTCATTTGATTATTTCT